CCCAGGTGCCCCTTCTGCTGCCCATTTAGGAACATTTTTGTCACAGCATTGTTTCTGTGCCAGGCGCATGCCCCTGAGGGGAGAGACTATCCCTGAGGAAGTCACGGAGGTCCAGGCCCAGTGGCCCGCACTCCCAGAGATGTTCTTGCAGTTTTGGCCTCTGTAGGGAGGACCGAACTGTGGAGAGCTTACATATACATGGGCTCTTCTCAGTTTATGTCTGGGCTCCCATCAGGGTCGGGGATGGGAGTGGTGTTTGGTACTAACCAGCAGTGGTCCGCCTCCATTCCAGATTGTCACAGCCCTGGCCATTGCAGGCACCCTCAAGTTCAACCCAGAGACCGACTTCCTGACAGGCAAGGATGGCAAGAAATTCAAGCTGGAGGCCCCAGATGCAGACGAGCTTCCCCGAGCGGTGAGCAGGCACTGCCACCCAGTGCTGTTAGCTGCTGCAGGCCTGCCGTGGGCCCCTGCCTGTTGCTGTGTGGCCAAGGCACTCCTTCCCAGCATGCCAGCTTCCTGGCCCTGTCACCCCCCCCGGGCAGGCAGGATGGCACAGTTAGCAAGAATGAGGCAGCTCTGCACCAGAGGGGAAGGTATGGGGCACACAAGAGCCCGTCCGCGTGAGGACTGAGGATTCGGCACCCAGCACGTCCCTGTCTCCTGCAGGAGTTTGACCCTGGGCAGGACACCTACCAGCACCCTCCCAAGGACAGCAGCGGGCAGCGAGTGGATGTGAGCCCCACCAGCCAGCGCCTGCAGCTCCTGGAGCCTTTTGACAAGTGGGATGGCAAAGACCTGGAGGACCTGCAAATCCTCATCAAGGTCAGCGACACGGGCGGGGGATGGGGAGAACGGTCCCAGCCTGTCAGGGGGCCCTCCCCTTGGCAGCAGGAAGGGCTGTGAAATCACGTGTTCTCGCCTGGGCCCCAGGGAGGAAGGTCAGGACCAGGGTTGGGGGAGGGAGGGAGGCGTGGCTGCTGAGAGAGGAGCCAGGGTATCCACAGCCCCGTCTCCACCGCCCGGTGCCAGGCCGGGCTGGATCTGGCCAGCTGTGTCTGGGGCTCTCGGCCATCTGCTGCAGCTGGTGATGGCCCCCTCCGGCGGCCACAGGCAGTGGATGCAGCACAGGGAGGGCAGGAAGGGCACACATGACCTTGCACAGCAGGGTCCGCGCCTCTGGCTTGACCAGATAGGCTCCAAAAGCCATCAACCCCTCATTCGCACCCTTGGGCATTAGTTCGCATGGCCCGTGTGTGGGAGCTGAGCAGACACAAGGCTCTGGTGCGGCCGGAGCCCTTAAACCCGTCAGACATGAATTCACGCTGTTTACTAAGAGTCTCCAGGCAGTGACACAGCCAGTATTAAGCCCGCATGATAGAAAAAGCTGGTCACCAGCCAGGAGCAGGACACATCCTTGGGCTTCTCTGTGTCCAGCATGAGGTCAGTAGCTTATTCCAGCCTGGGCACCACTTACGTGGGGACCTGGGTCTGAGCGTGAGTGAGCAGACACCCCTGCCCTGCCTGTCCAGCCTCTGTCCTTGTGAGTGCCCTGTCCTGGACAAGCCCCTGAGCACCACAGGGCCTTTGAAGGGTAGGTGACGGTCTTGCCTGAGCCCTCGTGGACAAAGTGTGGCAGCACCAGGCCTGCAGACCTAGTGTCCAAAGCCAAAGCCGCTGTTCTTGTCACCCTTCCTGGGGCCGGCTGCTGGGCCTGCTGCCTGCCTGCAGGAGGGCTTCTCCCTTCATCCACTTATGCACACGGCACACCCTGACCTTAGTTCTCTCGTTACCCACCCAAGGTCAAAGGGAAGTGTACCACTGACCACATCTCCGCTGCCGGCCCCTGGCTCAAGTTCCGTGGGCACCTGGACAACATCTCCAATAACCTACTTATCGGTGCCATCAACATCGAAAACGGCAAGGCCAACTCCGTGCGCAATGCTGTCACCCAGGAGTTTGGCCCTGTCCCGGACACTGCCCGCTACTACAAGGTGGGTCCCGGTCCATAGGGGCAGGGGTGGGGGTGCACGGAAGGGGTGCTTTCCAGGACCCCGCACCAACAGCTCTGCAGTTGAAGGACGCCCTGGTGCTGTGGGGGCGCTCCTGTGTCATCCCCGTACACGCCTGCTCTGGGCTCCAGTCCCACACTGTGGCCTTCCCCTGAAAGCCTGCCTCCACGCTGAGCACTCATGGGTAGGTTGCACCACCTCCCAGGGCCTCTTCCAGATGGCCAGGGCCTGTGTCTGGTCACCTGTGTCCCCTCAGGGCCTGATTTGGGCCTAATTCACCTCTGATCTCACCAGCCCCTCCTTGGGGAACGGGTAAGGAGGGACCTTTTTAGCCACCTGACCTGTGAACCTCAGGAAGCCCAGGGGCAGCAGGCAAGGGGTCACTGCCTCCTCGCCCTCATACCCTCCTCGCTTGCCTGACAGAAACACGGTATCCGGTGGGTGGTGATTGGAGACGAGAACTACGGGGAGGGCTCGAGCCGGGAGCATGCAGCACTGGAGCCTCGCCACCTTGGGGGCCGGGCCATCATCACCAAGAGCTTCGCCAGGATCCATGGTAAGCTAGAGCCGGGTCCAGCCACACCCACTTCCTGTACGGGCCGCCCAAGGTCACCCAACCTGCTGGTGGCCGAGTCAGCCCTGAAGCCACACGCCTGCTTTCCAGGCCATGTCCGTAGCTCCTGTTTCCCACCACAGTCTCTACCCCTTGTGAGTCGTGTCGAGTGTGGTGCCCACAGCTTCCCATCTCGGGAAGCCCCAGTCTTGCTTCCAAACCTGCAGACCCAAGCAACTGGAATCCACGGCACATGGTCAGATGGTTTTCTGATCGTGAATGTGTGTCAGGAAGGCCAAGACCCAAACCAGCATGCCTACAGCAGGTTCTCGCTGGAGGACCCCAGAGGGCAGGCTAGGGTGCCCCTCCCAGAGCCCTCACTGGGCTTAGAAGAGGACGCTCTCTGGGCTGGTGAGGTTTCCTCTGCAGAGAGGATTGGCTCTGCCTTCTAGAAACCAACTTGAAGAAGCAGGGCCTGCTGCCCCTCACCTTTGCTGACCCGGCCGACTACAATAAGATTCACCCCGTGGACAAGCTGACCATCGAGGGCCTGAAAGACTTCGCTCCTGGCAAGGTCAGGGGGCCAGGGAAGGAGGGTGGGCCGGGGACAGCCACTTCGCTTCCCTTCCTTCTACACCCATTTCTGGCCCCACTTACTGCTCCCATGAGCCTTTGTTCCAGCTGGTAGGGCCCTTAAATTCTCCAGGCACCCCCCTCAGAAAGGAGGTGTCTTCCCAGAGACAGAGGGCGTGCCAGCTCAGGCTTGGCAGGGCCCACGTGGCCCGGAGAGTTCTGCCTTTGGGTCTGACCACGGCCACTCCAGCTCAGACCTGGCCCAGACCTGGGTCTGCCTGCCGGTCCACTCTGGGAGTGCCCTACCTTTCTGACTCTCCAGCAGAACCAAGGGTCCTGTTCCTAAGAGCCATTCCCCCTCCCTCTCAGCCCCTGAAATGCATCATCAAGCACCCCAACGGGACGCAGGAGACCATCCTCCTGAACCACACCTTCAACGAGACCCAGATTGAGTGGTTCCGTGCCGGCAGCGCCCTGAACAGGATGAAGGAGCTGCAGCAGCAGTAAGGTCCGGCCACGCCACCCTGTCCGCCTACTCTGTGGACCCAGCTCCAGGGTCCCCGGGGCAGTCTGCGCGTCATCAGAACTGGATCTGCCCCCATCCAGCCTTGGCCTCCTGCCCTCCCTTCCCTCAGCCGGCAGAGGGACACACGGTTGGGTGGGGGCAAGGTTCTTAAAAGAATGTTCCAGCCCTGTCTTCCCATTTTTAGTCTGATTCAGATCTTGAGCAACTCCATGCAACTGTATTTATTTTTGATGACAAGACTCCCATCTAAAGTTTTCTTCCCGTCTCATCCTTTCACTGGTGGCTCAAAGATTTTAAAGAAACTTACGCTCATATGAGGAAAATAAGAATCCAAACTCAGTGACTGTTCCGGTGTGTGAGTGGTGGTGTCTGTACCGTTCCCAGCTCCAGGGGTGGGTCTTTGTGGCCAGTGAGCAGGGGCTCCCACTACCACGCCATGGCTGACCTGCCACGTGTAGCAGAGGATCCGTGAGAGGTGACTTCCCACGGTTTCTGAGTGCCCTGCCCTAACCCACTTCCGCCCACAGTGGAGCCTCCCCCACATGGCTTCCCCTGGGTGTGGAGTCAGCCCTCCGAACACCCCAAGGCGGGGCACGGACCCCTTCTCAGAGGCCACCTTGTCCAAGGTCACAGCCGGTCTAGGACGTGTACTGTTCCCTGCCCCTTAGCACCAAGTGGTGACAAGCACTGTTCCAAGCTACTACTCTCCCTGGAGTGACGTCCACCAGCAGTACCTCCACCTCCACGCTCGGTGCCCGTGTGAGTTCAAGGCCAGAGCAGGAGGCAGGCCCCACGGAGAGCCCTTCCTCAGCACAAGACTTGCCTGACATCTAACAAGCGAGCTGTTCGTGCACAAGTGAATGATGGGGCGGGAGGAACCTGGCACAGCCATTCAGCTGAGTCAACAGCATGGTGTCTGCCCTCATTCGGGAGGGCATCACCAGCCGACCCACAAGGTGTTCCTGACTCAGCCAAGGTCTGGAAGTGACAGCTGTACCGCTGGTGGGAGGGGTGACATGGCCCTTCACCAGCCCTGACCTTGGGCCAGCTAAGCCCAGGCCCCCACCTTCCATGTGCTGGTGGGAAAAAAGGTGGTCGTTCCTGAAAGGTCAAGATGCTGGTCAACAGGTGGCGGCTGCCCCTGGCCAGCCCCTCACTCTTGGTGACTTTAGGAGCCACCAGGCTCCGCCAGCCCAGAGCCCGCAATGCCGATGATCTCTCACCCCGACGTCCTGCCACCAGGGGGAGATCTTCTCAGCAGTGATCTGGCGAGAGGAAGGACGCGCTGTCCTAGCAGTGGCAACGCGGTGACCTCAGATCATGGAGACAAGGTGGCTCCTCCCTGACTGATGCTACCCTTGTTTATTACTTTGCTGTCACCAAGAGGTAGAAGTCCACAGGGACAGTGGGACTTCAGGGGTAGCTCCAGGAGCAGGGCCAGGATGGCGAGCGAGGGGACAGTCTGGTGGGGTGCACACTCTGCTGCTCGGCACCCGCAGAAGCTGCTGTAGTCCCCACAGCTGGTGCCACCACCTTCCCCGGGGCTGGGGTCCGCCGTCCAAGCCCCAGGGCTAGCTGCTGGTCCACCAGGAGAGGAGGCCCAGGCCCGGCTCGCTGATGGATCCCTGCCAGGGGCAGACAGAGAACAGGCACATGTCATCCATCTCACGGCTTGAGCCACCTCGGGAGGCAAAGGGGCCCTTCCTTCTGGGCGCCTGGCACTGGCAGAGGGAATGGGGACCCGAGCACACAATGGCCAGGAGACAGAGAAGCCCAGGGGCGCCAGCTGCCGTACGGGAACACAGCTCAGGCGCCCCCCTCCTGCCCCAAGGCCTCGGCTCAGTCGGGTACCCTTCCTCGCCCCCAGGCCTGCCCAAACTTGGGCACCGGCAGGCCAGTGCTGGACACGCGCTGTCTTGCCGGAAATCCTAGGAATCGTGGCCTTGACAAAGAACGGCGGCCCCCAAAGCGAACAACCTGCAGCATATGTTAGACCAGAAAAGCCCCCCCAGCAAGCCCCTGAAGCGTGCCTGACTTCGTCCATCACCGTCTCACCCCATGAGGCGACCCAAGTCAGATCAGGCTGGTCGCAGCTCCCCTGCCGCCTCACGCCCACCCAGGGTCTGGGAGGGGTGCAGCCTTGCGGGCCCTCCTTCCCTGTTGCCCCACCTTTGACTCACTCCCAAGCCCCTTCCCTGGTCTCTCTCCCTTGGCCCATTTTTATCAGCAGCTGGTCCCCCAACTTGGGCCCCGTCCCTCTTGCAGTCAGTCAGGGGTCTGACTGTCCCACCCTCCCTGGCAGCCACGCAGCTCCACTCACAAGTGTTACACCCTGGCCCGGGACCTGAGAAGCGGGCTCCCCAGGGAGAAGCAGCTGCCTGAAAACCAAACGGACCTGCACCCGGATCTGCAGGCAGAGGGGTTCGCGGTGGCGAACCTGGAGTGAATGTCCAAGCAGCGGCTCCCGCGCCCATCCACCGCCCAGGGTGTCCCCCCCACACCGTCCCTGTGGTTTGGGCAGTGGCGTCAGGACGTCTCACCACAAGCGTGTACGGAGCTTCCTTCTTTGGCAGCTCTTCACTGGAAGAGGTGGCCTCAGCTGAGCTGGGCCCCGTGGGCGACGTGTCCACAAAGCTCTCATCCACCACCCGGAAGCGGATCTCCTCGCCGGTGTCCATGTACAAGTCGTGTGCTCCTTCCTCTGTCTCGTATTCCCACACCCACACCTGCTCTGCCTCGTCACTGGGCGGGGTGCAGGGTCAAGGCAACAACCAGGCACCGGGGAGCCGGCGGGTGTGTGTGGGGGGGGTCCTCCTGCAACACCCACCCCCAGGAAAATCCAGTCCTAGGATGAGATCACCGTGGCTGAGAGGTCGAGGACAGGCAGGCCCACACCATGTGTGGAAGGCAAGGTTGGGCCCAGCGTGGTGTGAGGTGCAGGAACGCTGGGGCCCCAGGGCCCCGCCTGGAAACACATCCTCAGGGCACCAGCGCAGGAAGGAGGCTCAAAGGCAGAGCGAGTCCCACCTCGTGAGGCAGGAAAGCCAAGGGTCTCTCGCTGCCCTGCCCGGACCCTCTCAGCCAAGTTCAGACCTCAGCTCCACTAGCTGCGACCTGGGCCAGGCCCAACCTCAGTGTCTCAGGTCCCCACCTGTAAAACAGGGACTGTGGCAAGGCCTGCCTTCACAGGGCCATAGCGAGGAGGTCATAAAGTGCTTTCCCCGGGACCCGCACACTTGGTCCTAGAGCTCTGGCTGAAGCTGTCCCATGTTCTCCATGCAGTGTGCCTCCAAACCCCTTCCCATCCAGGCCCTGTGACCGTGACCCACACGCAGCACAAGGACTTCCCCAGTTTTCAGGAGGACAGACGTGGCAGAGGGAAGGTCGCATGCCTGAGGGCCCATGGCCAGCGAGCGGCCCAGCCGGCCAGCCTAGGTTTCCTGACAAGCCCGGGAGTCACACACAGACCCTGGCCCTGGCCCCTAGAGGCCCAGGCAGAGCGGGTCTGACGGCTGGTCCTGTGAGGGCAGCACCCCGGAACTGCAAAGCCCCACCCCCTCCCTCAGCGCACACTGAGAAGCCACAGCGCCCTCTGGCGGCGATGCTGCGAAGAGTCCTGCCTTAACCCCTCCGTGTCAAGTCCCCTGCTGGGCACTGTGGACACAGTCCTGACAAGACGGGGTCCCTTCCAGGCAGCAGTCTCACTGAGGACCCGCAGAAACACACCTCAGCGCAGCAGGGGGAAGGCTGGGGCAGAGCACTGGGGGGACCCAGCAGAAGGAAACGACCCAGCCCAGGACCAGGCACAGTGAAGCCCTCAAATGTCAGCCAGTGGTACTGTGTGCATCTCAGGGGAGGCGAGCCAGGCAGGGCAAACCCTTCCAGGCAGGGGAGCTTCGGCATGATCCCTGAGAGGACGATGGAACCAAAGTGACCCGGAAGTGAACGGAACACAACCTACCCAACCAGGCCCCACAGAGGGCAGCACGTGTGCAAGCTGGCGGGTGGGCACAGAGGTCAGCAGTATCAGATCACAGGACTCAGGGCCGCCCCAAGGAGCGGGGACTGTCCTCTAGAAAAGACCTGAGCTCCCCGTGACCCACTTTAACCCGGGGAGGATACAACTTGGCTGGCTGCTGCAGCGACTCTGGGGGGATGAGAATGTCATCAAAGAACCCTAGAGAGACTGGAAGAAATGAAGAGAGTTACAGAATGGGACAGGGGTGGTGGTTGCCATGGAAATCTGAGTCCCTCCCCACCTCGAAGCCCCACACTTCTGCCAATGCCACTCACACAGCCCGAGCAGCCACCACACACAACGTGGACCCCGAGTCCCGTCTGCCAGCTGCAGTGCCCACCCCGAGGTGCTGAGTTAGGGCCTCGTGGGGAAGGCCCACACGATGGGGCTGCGTGTTCCCCTCGCCCACGAGCTTTCCTGACCCCTCCCCTGACCATGTGGCCCAGACAGAAGCCAAAGGGAGAACTGCCGGCCTGGCCACTTGCCCCAGCGCGCTCCCGTGCTTCGTGGAGTCGGGGCCCCCATTACCGTGCACTCCCTCCGGGCTGCAGCCTTTGATTTTGCCGATCAGAATCTCATCCAGGAAGGGATGGAACACCACATAGCGAAAATGGACTGGAAATGAAAGAAGAGTGTCAGTGACCAGCAGGCGCAAGGGGGGGGGCGGGGGGGCTGCGCTGGGGTGGCCCAGGCTTTCCAGCATTGACCCCACTGGCCAGCCCGCTGACCTGGAGGCCCCGTGGCTGCCCAGGAGTCTGCTGGGCAGTGCACACCCAGTCCCGCTGGACCCACGCCCAGTCTCCCGCAAGGCTGCAGCGTGGCCCTGGAAGTGAGGGCTGGCCCCCAAACCCATCAGACAAATCACTCTGAACCCAGATTCTGGGCCACGAGTGACTCCAGAATCTATCCTACCCTTCCTCTAGAGTCTCCCTAAATTCTAAAAAGGGCGGAAGTAACTGGCAAAGGGAGCCAGGTTTGGAAACAAGTCCCCCATCTCCCTCTGACTGGAAAATTTGCCCCAGGCAAAGCTCTGACCTGGAACATGATGTTAAAAAAGCCCTGCAATTGAGGGGGACCAGGGGAAGGCAGAGGCCATAACCCGACAAAAATGCCTCTGTGGGTTCTCAGGCCCTGCCCTAGGTGCTCCCCACTCGCCGGACCCATGGGAAAACCTCAGGTGGGGTCTGTGCCCATCATTATCTCATCACTCCTGCCCCTCAAAGCCCCAAATGGGGTGACCACCCGTGGCCTAAACACACAGCCAGGGCTGGAGAATAACTACGAGGCTACTTCTTGCTTGCTGGTCACGCCCAGCAATGCGAATGCGTATCAGCATCAGGCTTCCCCACTGTGAGGCTGGAGAAGCGGCTCAGAGGGGCTGGGTAACCTGCTCATAGCCACACAGCTGTTCTGCCCTGTTTTGCCACGGGAAGACTCCAAGGCTTCCTGGACCACCAGACAAGGCCACAGGGTGGAATGTGCCTTCCTGGGACGGACTGCATCCTCAGACGCAGGCTTCTGCCCCTCGCACCCGCGGCTGCCTGGTCTCCAACATCGCACTAAGGACAGTAGGGCCCCCTGTACCCCCAGCTCGCTGCCAGGCTGCTTCTTGGTGGGCCCACCAGGCAGGAAACAGGAGAAAAGAAGAGGGGCGGCTGGTACCCCACTCCCTCCTTCCCTGTGACAAGAGCCTCATGCTGACCTTGCGGAGAGCAGATGAGGGCAGCCAAGGGTCACCTGTCCACAGGATGGAAAAATCCTGTCCCCCATATGACCTAACATTCAGTTCAGTTTAACAAATCCCCACAGAGCCTCTACCGAGTCCGAGCCAGGGCCTGTTGGGCACTGGGCTTAAGGGGCAGAAGAGCATGTGGTCTTGTGCCCAGGGAGTTCCAGTCTGGAACAACTACACCCAAAAGCACACGGTGGCCAACCCAAGTGTCCACCAACAAGATGAACGGATACACAAAATGTGGTCTGTCCATATAATGGAATATTTCTTATTAAAAAGCAATGGAGTATTGGTAGCTGCCACAACACAGACGAACCCTGAGAACATGACGCTATGTGAAATGCGCCAGTTACAAAAGACCACATCCCATACTGTGTAATTCCATTTATGTGAAATGTCCAGAACAGGCAAATCCAGAGACAGCACATCAGCGGCTGCCAGGGGTTGGGGGGAGGGGAGAACAAGGGGTGACTGCTGACAGCTTTGGGTTTCTTCTTGAGATGATGAAATGTTCTAGAATTAGACAGTGGTGATGGCTGCACAGCACTGTGAATATCCTAAAAGCTACTGAATTGTAAGCTTTACAAGGGTGGATTTTATGGTACGTGAATTAGATCTCAATTAAAAACAAAAAGGAGGCCACGGACCAGCGGGAAGGCCAGCCCGGGACCGCGCTCTCTCGAGCTGCCTCCCAGGAGCCCCACCTGAGGATCCAGCGTGTTCAGTGGGCAGACAGGAAGCCTGGAAAGCCAAAAGGGGCCGGGGGGGGGGGGGGGGGGGGGGGGCGGCGGTCTGCAGGATCATTAAGAGGAAGATCTGTTCTCAGGTGCGGATTTGGGCAAAATCTGTCCCAGCAGAAGCGGGTCTGCCTTGGGATGCACGGGAGTTCCTGCAAAGCGCAGACACTGTGTGTCTCCACTTACACGGTACCCAGAACAGTCAAACCCACAGAGACAGAGAGTACAGCGGAGGTTTCCAGGGCCTGGAGGAGCGGGGAAGGGGAAGTCAATGCTTGACAGGGACAGAGTTTCAGTCTGGGAAGATGAAGTTTGGTGACGGTCGCACAATGATGTGAATGTACTTGATGCCACTGAACTGTGCACTAAAAATAGTTCAAACAGTAAATTTTATGTTATATGTACTTTATCACAACTTAAAAAAAAAAAAAAAAGAAAGAAAGAAAACAGAACAAAGCAGATAGTAGCATGAAGTCAGGCTGCTCCGGAACCCCCCCGGCGGGGGCACGACAAAAGAGGCTTCCCCAGGGAGGCCGCCGGGTCCAGTGGGCTTGCGGGGACACGGAGAACACGGACTGGTGCCAGGTAAACACACCCCGAGTGACAAGAGATGAGGCTGGACAATTGGGGCCAGCTTCACAAATCACAAAGGCTGACATCTTGTGAGCACTCACTGTGGAGAGGGAGAGCAATCTGGCCTGCAGGGGTGGGGGTGCGGGGGTCGGCCGAAGCAGCAGAAGGCAGTGAGTAAATGAGGAGTCTTCCGGGGCGCCTGGGTGGCTCAGTGGGTTTTGCGTCTGACTTCAGCTCAGGTCACAATCTCACGGTTTGTGGGTTTCATTCCCAAGTCGGGCTCTGCACTGGCAGTGAGGAGCCTGCTTGGGATTCTTCTCTCCTTCTCTCCCCCCCCCCACCCGGAATTAAAAAAAAAAGAGAGTCCTCAAAGCAAAGGCTGAGGCCTCCTTCAGCACACTGGGCCACAGCCGTGGCCACGGGGTGGGAGGCAGCAGAAACGGGGTCGGGGTCGAGGACCAGCCTTGAAGCATGGCAACCAATCCCCTCGACAAAATAATGCCGCCACCCTGCACGATGCCTGGCAGACCACAGGAAGCTTTAGAGCTGCAGGTGTCAACCCCATTTTACAGATGAGGAAACCCAGGCCAAGAGAGGTGGAGAGTTACCTGCTCAAGGTCTGCATGGGGGGGTAAGTCAGAGCCAGAATTCAAATCCAGGTCCATGTGACATGCCAAGGCGGGTGCCCTACGCCTCACACCTCATTCCCAAAGAAACAGGGGGGCCAGGGTGAACTGGGGGCGGGGGATAATGAAAACCCAAAATGGAAATCTTACACTAAGAGGCAGAGACAACCAGAGAACAGAATTTCCTCCATTTTAACTTTTTTTCTCCCAGTTTTCCTTCAAGTTCTGGTGGCTCTTCCCACCTGGACAACCAGCTAAAGGCAGCGCCTGGGCGCAGCTTGAGGGCATCCTTCTCTGTAAACGGAGGCCCTACGGTCTTGTTTTCATATCCACGTCTCATTTTCTGCTAAATGCTCCTGGTCCTGCAAACGCAGCCCGCTTCGCAGGGCCGTCCACTGGGCACGCTAACGTCTCCATGAATTAATGAAGGCTCTGGATTCCAGACACCACAAGGCGGCCTCATGGCACGTTCTGTGCCGAGGCCGGCCAGGATGGGCTCCTCGCACACGGCCTGGTGGGAGCATCACCGGCCCCGCGCTCTGCCCCAGAGGCTGTGATCTGGCAGGTCCGAGGCCTCGCTGCCCCAGGCCTCACTGCCCGAAGCCACCGCTCAGATTCGCCCCAAACTACCTCAGCGGCTCCCTTGCCCGCTGCTCCTGATTCAGTGGGGTGCAGGGAGGAGAGTGAAGACCGCCCCACTCCCTCCTCCTCCCCTAGAGCTGGAGCCAAGGTGACCCTCCCTGCACACCTCCAGGTCTGGCACCGCCGCCCCCCCCAGGGTGCGCGCCCCTTTGCCATGTGACTGCAGCTCCTCCCGCAAGGGGCAGCGGCTCTTTCCCCATCCCCGGTGCCTGCCTCCGCCACGTGCCCTGCTCTGGCCAATGGGATAGAAGCAGACGCTGCACAGGGGCGGGGGAGGGGGGCTCCAGCTGCCCTGGGGTGCCCAGTGTCCCCTAAGCAAAAAGGAGACCGCGGGCGGCAGAGATGAGCTGTCCCTCCCCACGAGCTACTGTGCCAGCCGCCAGACACACGTGGCCGCCCCCACACCCTACAGGCAGCCCTGACCAAGCCAGTCCAGAAGAACCAAGGTCCTTTGCACATACTCAGTAGATTCATCACATCAGTCCTGTAATAGAAAATCTACTGTTAACTGCAGTCTATAGGCAAAGAAACAGAGGCACAGAGAGGTTACATATTCTGCACAGGATACACAGCAAGTTAAGTGGCAGAGATGGAATTTGAATCCAGAGGCCACGCTTAACCATTTTGTCCACAGTGCGCCTCAAAGTCCCCCACCCTCAACCAGCCTCCTCCCCAGGAAACAGGTGCACTCCCCTCTGCTCTCCACACTTTTATTTTATTTTTTAAGGAGCTTTTTAAAAATGTTATTTATTTAAAATAAGTAAAATAAATAAATTTTGCTTTTTTCAATGTTTATTTTTGAGAGACAGAAACAGAGAGCGAGCAAGCATGAGCAGGGGAGGGGCAGAGAGGGAGACACAGAATTGGAAGCAGGCTTCAGGCTCTGAGCCATCAACATAGGACTGGATGCTAGGCTCGAACTCACCACCCAGGTGGCCCTATTTATTTCTGAGAGAGAGAGAGCGTGCCCGTGGGCGCATGCAAGTGAGAAAGGGGCAGACAGAGAGAGAGAGGGAGATAGAGTGTGGAGCCCTGAGCGGGCCTCTAGCTCACCTGACGTGCGGCTCGAACTCACCTGAGTCAAGGTCGGATGCTTAACTGACCTGAGCCACCAGGTGCCCCTGGAGAGTTAATTTTTAAGTAATTTCTAAGCCCAACACGGGCCTCAAACTAACCCTGAGATCAAAAGTTGCACAGTCTACCGACAGAGCCAGTCGGATACCTCCACTCGCCACACTTTTAACTCAGCAACGACCACTCCAAGGGCCTTCGTCTGGCTGGTCACCCCCAACCAGGCCGAGCAGCCGGACGGCCAGGCCGAGCAGCGCTCAGTAACAAACGAGACCAAAGGGGGCACAGCCACGCGGCCACAGTCTCAGAGCCAGAGAGTCAGCTGGTGCACCGTTCCTTACAGGTAAGGAAACCAAGGCCCAGACAGGGGAAGATTCTGCCCCCTGTCACCCAGTCAATTCCTGGCAGAGTCAGGACTAGGCCTCGGGTCCCCCAATCCCTAGACCAGGACTCACTCCCACAGCCAAAACCAAACCCCAAGAAACCCAACACCAAGGAGGAAAGGGCACCCACCTTTGGTGTGTGATGCGCCGTCCCCTGGGAACACGTAGGCATCCTCCAGCTTGGTGATGTCGAACAAGCAGATGCAGAGCCCCACGTTGTATACGACCTGTGTGCATCCGCGTACGTGTACACACACACACACACACACACACACACACACACACACGCAGTGACCCAGAGGCCCAGCCCCCCAGCATTCTCTCCTGAGACCCTCATCCCCCGGGGCAGGTATGATTATCCCCTTCTACAGCTAGAAAGGAGTCGGGGCACTGTCTGAAGCAACCACGGGTAAGGAGCCTCGGAAGCACGTGGAACTCTGGAAAGATCAGGGCCTTTGGTGACAAGGCAGATCAAGGTTACAGTGACAGTTCCATCACCCACTCTGTGACCTCCAAGGTCACTTCTCCGAGCCTCAGTTTCCCAAAAATGAACCTACCAGGCTGCAGGCTCATTAAATAAAGAGACCTCATGGATGGGAAGCCCCTGAGCCAGTGCCTGGCTCACATGCTGGAAGTAGTTAACAGTCAACCACGGATCACAATATTGCCAGGAGGGGACCCTGGGCAAGCCTACGCTTCCCAAAGTCTCTGGGTCCATGCTAGAGCTCAGAGTACGCGTCAGAGTCCTGGCTAGTCCCCATTCTGCTCACAAAGTATCAGACATACACCGGTGGCCACAGGGACTGAGGCTACAGAGTGACAGAGGGCCAGGGCCCTGAGACAGGGCAGAGAGCCTCCCACACCCCCATGCCCACCCCATAGGACTCCAAACCACTGGCCCACCTGGTGTCAGCTTATCTGCCACCAGCATCATCACCTCCCAATTAGAGACCTTGAAGGACTGTTCAAGGATAACCAACAAGCTCAGAGGGCGACTCCTGGCCAGACCTCACCACGACGCACAGAGTCCGGCCGGCTTTGGCAGCACGAGATCTGTGCCCTTGGCTGCACCATGGACCTCTTCTGTGCAGCTTCCTCTCAAATGACTCAAACGCAGAAGACCTATGTCACCAGGTCACTGAAGGACTTGTACCCCAAAGGGACTACATTCCCTTCTTGGACTTTTCACCCCTTCTCTCTCCATGATGCTCACACTTCATCCCTCCACAGACCCGCTTACCTTCTACCTCACAAAGTAACCAGAAGCCATCCACTAAGGACTTCATCAGTTCTCTCCACCAACAGCTCACTAGATCTGTACACCTCCCTTCTGTGACCTCAGCCTCTGTAGCAGGGACTGGCCTCCTGTCTAAAGCCAGCCAACCTTCCTCTTGCTGGCTCCTTCTCAGCCTATCACCTGCTACTGTTCTAGGGATGAAGACCGATACCGCCATGATGTCCCTCAGGCCCTGTGTGGCTTGGCTCCTGCCACCTTTCCAGGTTGCTCTCTCCCTCTGCCTAGGCCACACCAGGCTCCTCCATGTTATGATGGGTTAAATACTCCCTCCTGCCACAGGGCCTTTGCACATGCTGATTCCTTTGCCTGCCCAGACCTCTTCCATCCTCAAAAATAAATCCTCTAGTTAGTTCCTCTTCTCACCATCAGATCTCAGCTCAAACCCAAGTGCCACATCCCTAGCAAAGCCTCTTTTGCCTCTCATTGTACGTAGAGTTCTCCTTCATTCCGCAGGCTCGTGAATGCCTGTCCTTCACAGCGTCTACCTCAACCTGTCATCACGTACTCAACTGTGGGACCCTCTCATTCAGGTCTGCTGTTCCCACCACACGACAGAGCAGAACCTCATCTGCCTCATTCATACAATCAACAGGCAATCATGGAACACCTACTGTGTGCCAGGCTCTGGCTAAGTATGTGGGATCCCGTGAGGGAAAAGACAAAGGTCCCTGCCCTCATGGAGACGAGAAGAAAAGCGGTAACCAAGTAAATAAATATGAAAACAGTGCTGGTAAGTGCTAAGAAGGAAAGAGTGACAATGACATGGAGTAACTGAGGGAGGCTTACTACAGAAAAGGCAGTGGGAAGGCCCCGCACTCGCTGGCACTAAAGCGTGCGGGGCTGGCACATAAAAGGCGCACGAATCATTTTCTGCAGGAATGAATGGATAAACCTCCTGACAGTGAACTCTAAACCACCGTCCATCCTCACAAAAACAACCATGGTCAGACAGCCACTGTGCTTTCCATTTTACAAATGGAAACTGAGGCCCAGAGGGGGGGTAAGTGATCTGCCCAAGATTGCAAAGTAATTTGGCAGTGTAGAATCCAGCACTTCCCAGTTACAACGGCCCTTTTCAAACCCAGTTCCCCTTTTTGATTCCCTCTCACATCCCATGCGCAGGTGGATTACCCCCATCCCATGCACAGGCGTAGAAACCGAGTTCTGAGACGTTAAGCTACCCGCCCAAGGCCAAGGTTTGGCATGACCAAGTCCAGGCCTGCAGCGGGCGGGTGGGCAGTGCTGGGCCCTCCGGTGCCAAGGCCTGTCCACGACCCCGTGGGTCCAATACCTTGTTGGCCAACTTTTTGTTCAGCTCTTCGGCAATGGAGTCGTTGAGCTTTCTCTCAAACTGCCACGGGGGGATCCGCACGGTGTCCACCATCTCCACCAGGACGAACATCCCGGCCCGCGCGGGGCCCTGGGAATGGGAGCGCCAGGCACGCACCGGGGTGTGGGGCGGTGGGCCTTCCTGAACCCCCTCGGTCCCGTCCCAAACGCTGAGACTCTCCGCTACCACCCCCGTCAACCCAGGCCGGCAGTGGGGCGACGCGCCAGGGCCCCAAGTAGCCCGTGTGGGGCGCGCTCAGCCTCTGCAGAGAGGAAGCTGAGGCTCAGCGGGAGGCACCCTCGCTCCGGTGGCAGGGTGTGAGCGCCGCCGCACGACCCTACCAAGCCCCCACGAACCACGAGCCACCGCCACGCACCGCGCTTCCACGCGCCGCCGACTTCGGGCGAGATTCCGAATCCCCTCGCTTCCGGAGAACAGACCAATAAGAAGCTTTTGCCCGCCCCGCGACGTGACGTAAGGTGCGGCGCCCCCCCCCCCGCCCGTCAATCCTCTGACCGCGCACGCCGGTTGCTAGGCGACCTCGGCGCGCTCCAGCCTTCTCTCACCTGGTCTGTGTAGTACTCTCTCCTTGCGGGTTTCAGGCCTAGCTCTGAGCCGCCGCTGCGGCCGGAGGGGTCCTCTCAAGAGCCAGCACCCTATGCTTAAACCCTTGAATACCCTGGAGGCAGGAGAATTAACTGGAAACTGGGCAGGCGGGACCTTTCTGGGATGATAGAAATGTTCCATATCTTCTAAGGGGGTGGGTTACACAGGTGTACACAATTGTCAAAACTCATTGAACTCAACAGTTAAGATCTTTGCATGTAATTATAGGCAGATTGCATCTCAACTGAAAAGTGGTCATAGATTGGGGCCAAAAAACCACGTCGGTAGCTTCCCACTGAACTAATGAAGTCCAAAACCTTGAGGTGTCTGGCTGGCTCAGTGGTTGGAGCATTGGGCTCTTGAACTCTAGATCCTGAGTTCAAGCCCCACCTGGAGTATTAGAGGTTTCTTTATTTAAAAAAAAAAATCTTCATTTTTAATGTTTATTTATTTTTGAGAAAGAGAGTATGAGCAGAGGAGAGGCAGAGAGAGAAGGAGACACAGAATCGAAAGTAAGCTCCATGCTCCGAGCTGTCAGCACAGAGCCCTATGCGGGGCTCGAACTCACGAATCGTGAAATCATGACCCGAGCTGAAGCTGGACGCTTAACCAACTGAGCCACCCAGGTGTCCCTAGAGATTACTTAAAAAAAAAAAAAAAAAAGAAAAGAAAAGAAAGGAGCACCTGGGTGGCTCAGTCGGTTAAGCATCCGACTTCAGCTCAGGTCATGATCTCACGGGTTGTGGGTTCGAGCCCCGCATCGGGCTCTGTGCTGACCGCTCAGAGCCTGGAGCCTGCTTCAGATTCTGTGTCTCCTCTCTCTGACCCTGTCCTGCTCATGCTGCCTCTCTCTCTCTCAGAAATAAATTAAAAAACATTAAAAAAAAAAAGCCCAAAACCTTCATCGTACCTCGCAAGACCCTGCAGGATCTTGCCACACCCACACCTCCAGCCCCATTTTGTTCTCTCAGCTGCCAAGGGTGCCATCCTCACTCATCCGCATGTGATAGGTAACATGGACTTGGGCTGAGACAATTCAGTAGCTTGGCCAAGATCATGGGCTGCTAAGTTGTTGAAAAGGGCCCATCTAAACCTCCACACTGCCTCTCAAAGTTGATGGACTGTGGAAATATACTGTGGTGCGTTTAAACCAAATAAAAAATTGAGAACTTAAAAAAAGCCTTGGGGGTAGATGACAGGCACTCAGAAATGCATGGGGCTTCGATTTGCTGATTTTACACGTGTAGAGATATCTGTATGAGGCCGGCTGCTGTGATACTTAATTTGGCCTTCTCTGCATTCATATTTTTATTTTTAGGTCTGTCTGCCTCTCCGAGGATTTGAGCTACTTGAAGACAGCGGGGAAATGCTACTTCAGCTCTTTATTCCCACAATCCCCTAATATCATTTCTAGGAGGTATTCAGGAAAAGTAATCAGGAGATGATATTAAGTCTTTTTCTCCATCTCTCAAACCTCCCTCTTCATTCCATTCCCACTGCTACTGCTCTGGGTCAGGCCCTTCCATTTCTCCCCTGGAGCTTAGCCACACACCCCAGCTCCTAGCCTCAGTCTCTCCTGCAAGCGACCTCCACACTGTACAAAAGCCCTCCCTTCATGACTATCTTCTGCCCACAGAGAAAGGTCTGGACTGAACCCACCCTTTCTTTCCCGTCTCACTTCCCTTCTGTTCTCCAAGCACTGGGATGGAGCAAGTTCTTTTACAGTCCTGCCTCAAACATTTCTTTACCTAGAAAACTCCTACTCATCCATCAGAACCCAAATGCAATGCCTGTTTCATTCATACATTCACTCAACATACTGTGTGCCCAGCTTTGGAGATCCAGTGGGGAAGAAGAACTGGGGCCCAGGTCCAGCTTCAGCAACGAGGGATTGCAGGGAAGAGAGAGAAAGAGAGAGAGAGAATTTGATGCTTTCAGGGAATCAAAAGTATTTCAACTGATTTATAGGGAGATACAAACCAGTGAGATTGGAAAACTGAGCAGGGTCCAGATCACAAGGGCCTTATCATTATAATATTCATTAACGTTTAATCCTTACAACAGCCATATAAAGTAGGGGCTATTATTCTCATTATCTGATTTATCCCATTGTCATTTATCATTCTCATTTATCGTATATCTCATTTTGCCTCTTCGAAGGCAGAGAGAGGTTAAGTAGGTCGTTCAAGGTCACATAGGTTATTAAGCGGCAGAGTTGGGACTCAGGCTCCAGAGCCCATGACCCTAACTACTGGCTGTGCCACCAGGACATTTTTAGCGCAAGGACAACAAAGGGAAGACTCAGATGGTTAGAACAGGGAAATGACACAGTGACACATCTGCTGGATGGACAGTGGGGGGAAACAGGAAGACCAGGGAGGAAGTTGCTGGGTAGCTTCTCTAAGAGAACTGAGGAAGGCTGGTAGCCATGGAGAGCGAAGTTGGGCAGAGTCCAGAAGTGTTCAGGCGATGGAGTGGGTGATCTGGGGACGGAAGTGGGAGGAGCCAAAGCAGAGGGCTTTCGCACTGGCTGGGGGTGGGCCTTTCATTGAGATGGGAATCTGGAGGCGAGCCAGGCTGAGGGATGGGGCCAGCACGGGGCCGGGCAGAGTTCAGGGTTTTGGGTTCCCAGGCTGTTACGGTATTCAGCTCACAGGATTGCAACAGTGATTTGCTGGCACGTTTGGTTTCCTCATTAGGAAAAACAGGGACCAGGCTCCTTCGTTAATTCTCTGCGTTGTTCCGTGGAAGATCTGAGGTGGCTTACAAAACGCACAAAGACTGAGTTTGTAAGCTCCTTGACGGCAGAGGACTTCTCTGTCATGTCCCTCCACATCCTCTGGGCCCAGCCCTGTGTCTGGCACATGATCAGGGCTTGTAAATATGTGTCATTTGGGTGAACAAAAGGATAGCGAAATAATTGCTAAGGGTGTCAGAGTGATGGAGGAATAGGGCTGGAAGCTAATCCAGGAAAAGGAGAGTCAAGTGAGCGGTTAAGGGCATGGAGTTCCCACGCCACAGCACACTAGCTGAGCACCCACCGTGGAGCCCATGAACCTCTCAGGGCCTCGGCTGCCTCTCTGTAAAGTGGAGATAATAATAGAACCGATCTCAAGTGGTTATCTGTCGGTGGAGGACTGGATAAAAAATATATACGGTGTATCACAAAACGGAATAATATGAAGCCATTAAAAGAAGGATGAAGGTAGCGCCAGGCTGGCTCAGTCAGTAGAGCGTGCGACTCTTAGTCTCAGGGTTGTAAGTTTGAGCCCCACGTTGGGTGTAGAGATTACTTAAAAATAAAATCTCGGGGCGCCTGGGTGGCTTAGTCGGTTAAGCGTCCGACTTTCGCTTAGGTCATGATCTCGCGGTTCGTGGGTTCGGGCCTGCGTCGGGCTCTGTGCTGACTGCCAGCTCAGAGCCCAGAGCCTGTTGCAGAGTCTGTGACTCCCTCTCTCTCTGACCCTCCCTGCTCACGCTGTCTCTCTCTCTCTCTCTCCTAGAAATAAATAAAAATATTTAAAAAAAATAAATAAATAAAATAAAATCTCACAGGGGCGCCTGGGTGGCTCAGTCCAACTTCAGCTCAGGTCATGATCTCACTGTGAGTTCGAGCCCTGCATCGGGCTCTGTACTGACAGCTCAGAGCCCAGAGCCTGCTTTGGATTCTATGTGTGTGTCTCTCTTTCTGCCCCTCTCCCGCTCACACTATTCTCTCTCTCTCTCTGTCTCTCTCTCTCAAAAATAAACATTAAAAAAAATTTTAGGGGCGCCTGGGTGGCTCAGTCGGTTAAGTGCCCGGCTTCATGGTCATAGTCTCGCAGTTTGTGGGTTAGAGCCCCGCATCGAGTTCTGTACAGGCAGCTCAGAGCCTGGAGCCGGTTTCAGATTCTGTGTCTCCGTCTCTCTCTCTGCCCTTCTCCCACTCATGCTCTGTCTCTCTCTGTTTCAAAAATAAATTTAAAAACTATAAAAAATATTTTAAAATAATAAAAAAATTGTTTTTAAATAAAATCTTAAAGAAAAAAAGGATGAGAATGCCGTTTGTTTACTGATATAGAATGATATTCAGGATATATTAAGCATAAAAATGCAAGGCATAGCACGGTGTGTATGGGATGTTACCATTTGTGTAAAAAGGGGAGAAAACTAATACCTTATGTGCGTGCACACATGCTCTGAGAGAGTTGACAAGCGACTGATTGCCTGGATCGGCTGCAGAGTAAGGAACCGAATGGCTGAGGGTGTGGGAGAAGGGAAGGGGGAACATTTTGTACCAAATGCCCCGTGGAATCTTTGATGATTTGGATCATGGGAATATATCATCCATTCAAAAATGAGGAAAATTTAAGGGGTGCCTGAGTGGCTCAGTTGGTTAAGTGTCTGACTCTTGGTTTTAGCTCAGGTCATGATCTCACGGTTCGGAGTTTGAGCCCTGAGTCAGATTCTGCGATGACAGCTCAGAGCCTGCTTGGGATTCTCTCTGTCCCCGTCTCTCTCTGCCTCCTCCCCCACTCTCTCTCAAGATAAAGAAACTTCAGAAAATATTTAAAAATGAGTAAAGTTTGAGTTAAAAAGGCAGTTAAGATTTTTTTAAATTTTTAATATTTATTTTTTTAATGTTTTTGATTTATTTCTGAGAGAGAAACGGTGTGCACAGGGGAGGGTCAGAGAGAGGGAGACACAGAATCCGAAGCAGGCTCCAGGCTCTGAGCTGTCAGCACAGAGCCCGACGTGGGGCTTGAACCCATGAACTGTGAGATCATGACCTGAGCCGAAATCAGACGCTTAACCGACT